CCCGGTAGATTAGATCCTAGGCGATAGATTTTAATGGCCTAAAATAAAGAAACTGGTTTTGATTTATAATGTATAGATTTTAAAGCTAGGATATGTATATAATGTTGTAATAGTCTATTATGTATTAGTTCTATGTCAACTTAGTTACCTACAGAGTACTTTAAAATAACATGCAATTAAATTAAATTCTTAAAAAGTACTTTTATGTATCCTTAAATTCAATTAAATACTAAATCAATAAAATGTATTTACTTACTTAAATCGAATAGATCCTTTAAGTGACAATGGAGCTATCCACGTAAAAGTATCTGTTATTTTATATTTATTATTTGACTGAACCACTGCATTCTGAAAAATTAAAATTCTAACCATCATAAAGTATTGATTAATCCTAAATAAATTATTACTACGCACACATTAATACTCGTAATTATAATTAGGTTAAAGCTGATTAGCCTAWGCGTCTTTAGCTTACTTCTTAACCGATATTATTAGTGTATATAAATACATCACTATTTCTACAAGACTTTGTTACTAACTATTTAATACAGCATGTTTATACAGCATTGGATTTTGAATAAGTTTAATAATTTACTATTATAATTGAACTGTTCTATAAACTATTATAAACACTACTCTATATTAAATGGCTGAAATTAATAAATAGTTAATAATAAAATAACAATAAATGTAAAACTAAATCGTACATGATAATATAGTTAATCGGAAGGATCCACCAATCTGACAGATTACAGTCATCACGTATATTAGATTTGCGTATAATATAATATAATACAATCAAGAAAAATTAAGTATAAAATATTTTCATCTGAATTTTGTAGTATRTATAGGTAATGAAAAATGTGAAATAATAATCAATAATCGTATTATATATTATTTAAGTATAATAGTACAATATAAAATAATGCATTATCACTTACGCACACAGTGGTATACAAACACAGATATACAGTATACTATAATATAGTGTACAATACTCTATATCTGTGTATACAAACATGCGTTCACGTATTAAATTTATAGATAATTTTCACGGAAAACGCGTACGCGAGTGTATTAAAATGGAAGACAGCGAGCTTCCGAAGCCTATGACTTGAAAATTAAGACCGACGATTTCAAAATCATTTTTAAATCGTAGGCAAATTCAAGTTCCTAAGAAGTCGAAATTCGTTAGAGGYGTGACAAGTTAAATAAAATTCTATCTATACAAAATATTATATAGTATCAATATGCCAGTATACTGTTGCGAATCATCGAATATCTAAAACCACGCTATCGCCCAGCTATGGTTCGTTTCCAGTGAAACAGCTGAACATGTGATTTTAGAAGTTTGTCAAGTTATGGATTTGTGATAGTTAGAAAAAAAATAAAAATAAAATTCTATAAGTATACATTAATTGTAAGTACCTGTAATTGATATCACTATACTGGCGAAATATCGATAATCGAAATCCACGGCATCGCCTAACTATCAGCTCAGCGTAGTGCGGATATAATATGGTGAACAGACGATTTAAAAAAACCCTTAAAACAAAAACCTACTCACGTATGGTTCGTCGCCGTTGGAACAGCTGATCATGTGATGTTGCGTCGCATTCTTGCATTCCGGCAGAAACGTGCCGATCGCTCGGCCGTCGCTGTCCCGAGCTTGGACCATGAACCCCTTGAATGGCATGGTAATGCCGAAGGACGTGAGCGTGATGTTCACCAGGTTGCCGGGCACCACGGGCGTGGACGGATCCACTATCAGCCGGTACGGACACGGCAAGCCTTGCGTGTTTTCCGGCCGGTAACCCGGGTGCCTGGGCGTCATGTCCGAGCACGCAATCTTCAGCATGTCGTCTGTGACGGCCCTGGCGCCGGGAGCTTGCACGACCACCAGCAGCAACAACACCATCGCCAGCGCGATCACCACGGACGTCGTCGTCGCATCCGCACTACGGGTCTCCACCGCCATCGCAGTTACCGCGGTATTACGATATAAATACGATATGTTATGATGACTTACCGTTACCGCAGTAGCAACAGTAGCAGTATACCGGAAATTATTATTTTGTTTTCATACGATGAAGTGATAATATGATATAACGGTGATGTCGTCCTCGCGCGCTGTGGTTACCACACAGTTTTAGGTGATAGAATTGCCTACATTGACCGCACTTATATAACTTATAGTATTTTGTTCTGTCAGTCGTCCYGAAGCACGYCACTGATTACTGCCTGCAATACAACAAAAGGCCGAGCAATTTGATTTTTACTTGATTTTATCTACGATAGAGGTATAATCAACCCTCCTACCAAAAGTAAATTTGTTGTTGTTTTTTTTTTCACTAATAATA